GCTACGGTATCTCTCTTCCGGCCATCCAGGTTGGAGGGACCCATTTAGTTTAGGTCCCTCCTAGGGGGGAAGTCCTCCCCGGGGGGTTGATGGTGACACGCTTGTGGTGCGTGTCACCGCCCAGGGAGACCCCCCTATTTTCCTCTGCCCCCTTTTGGGGGCGGGGGGGGGTTAGCGACTGTACAATAGGAGGGGATCAATTAAATCCCCCTCCCCTTACCGCCTCCCCCCTTCTTTCTCTCTCCGCCTCCTCCTTCTGAAACATTACCTTGTCACAGAAGGAGGAGACGGCCCTCCATTTATCCTCTCCCTCCAGCATGGCTTTTACCAATGCTGGTAGGGAGAGGTCCTCACCGACCACTGCGGTCAAGACTCGATGCTCTCCCTCCCATGCTTCACACTCTTCTAGAGTATGTCGCGCCGAGTCCCGACCGGCCGCACAGTGGTGGCACCTTGTCGTACACTCTCTACCTATCCTGCACAGGTAGTCACCGAAACAACCGTGTCCGGTGAGTACCTGTGTCAGGTGAAACCTGATACCATGTCCCTTCCTGTCCGCCCATTCGGGAAGACAGGGGTGGATGGCCTGGGTGGTCCATCTGCCCGCTGTGGAGCCAGCCAAGGAGGTCTGCCATGTCTCCATGGCTCCCTGGCGGGCTTCCCTCCGGAGTCTGGCCACGACTCGTGGCAATAGGCGAGCCCTCCCGGGCCGGTCTGGGTCCCTCGTACGCCGATAAAATTCAGCGTACGAGTTCGCCAGGAACTCGGCCGGGATAAGGCCCGCCAGAGCCGTGGCCGCCGCGTACGACGTCGTGCTGTAGGCCCGGATCAACCTGATGGCCAGCCGACGCTGTTGGCGATGAAGCAACGCCTGTATGCGCCGACTGGCCGTGACCCTTTCGGCCCACACCGGTGCTCCATAGAAGAGCACCGATTGCACGACGTTCGCGTAGAGTCTCCTGACTCTATTTCGCGGACCACCCAGGTTCGGAAGGAGGCGACCTAACGCCGCCGCCATCCTTTCCGCTTTGGGGGTTATCCCAGCAAAGTGCTGCCGTAGCTACGACAGCTGGCGGTGGGTCCACCTCCATGGCTTCAATGGGGGGGTTTGGTTCTCCCCCCGTGAACGATTTCGCCGCTGTTGTCTTCTCCTCCTTGTTTTTAGGAGGGGGGATGGGTGCCGCTACGGCAGCTCCCCCTTCTTTTCTTATTTCCCCCCTTGGGGGGTTTACATGCCGGCCCCCCCATACGGTGGGAGGCCGAACGGCCCGCATCTCGACACACGGCGCATTTGGCTTGCGCCGTGCATCCACGGGCCTCATGTCCCGTTTCTCCGCAGCGGTAACAGATACCACTGCGGTCAACGTTGGTGTTAGGGCACATGGCCCTAACGTGGCCCCTCTCCATGCATCTATAGCATTGGAGGGGGCGCTCCTCCAAAAGTTCAACCCGGGCCCGGAAAAAACCGTCGACTACTACGTGCCCCTCCTGAGCGACCTTATTGGCCGCCCCGAGGGGGCACTTTACCCAGGCCGTGTAGAGGCCTCTGGGGATGGGAGAGGGCTTTATTTCCCCCACTTTAATCTCAGTGGGGGAGCACCCTCCCTTCTCCGCCACGGCCTGAGCGACACTCTCGGCCGTGGTCGACGGTGGCAGATCCCGAACACGAACCTCACCCATTTTTTGAGGGCGATTGATCCGTATTTCGGGTCTGTCAGTGAACATATTGCGCATTTTCTGCGCCAATATGTCCGCCTTCTTTTGTCCCTCCGGGCCCGGGATCTGTATAATCATGGCCCCGATTTGGCCTGCTTTTGGCTTCGTTGGAGAGATCCCCAACTCTTTAAGGGAGATCTTCCTGGTGACCCTGTTTAACACCGCAGCATACTCTCCCACCGGACATGTGAGGGAAATAGCCGCGGTGTTGGGCACCTTCCTCTTCTTTTTCTTTTTCCCCTTATCTCCCTGGGGGCCCGGTTTGGGCGGGGAGGGGGGGGATTTAGAGACGGTTTTAGGCACCGTTTTAGCTGTCCCTTTGGCGCTCTTATCTGTTGAGGAGGGAGGGGTCTCTTTCCTCTTCTTCTTTTTCACCACCTCTGTAAATAGAGGTGGTGAGTTTCCCTGCTGTCGTTGCTGCTGCCATTGGATCATGGCAGTACCCGTTACAGCAGGTTTCCCTCCAGGGGGAATTGGCTGCTCCGGTTTTGCGACCGGGGTTTTCTTTTCCCCTGTAGGGGGGGGGGGAAGGACCGGCAGTGGGCCGTCGCACGGCGGCGGACCGCACCGGCGGCTTCCCCTTCCCCTTCTTTCCGTCCCCCCTCTTGGAGTCCCCTGCAGGGAGAGCCACTCTCTTAATTGAGGGTGGACCCTTACCGGCAGGGGGTCCAGGGGGAGGAGGGTTAGGCAAGGAGGGAGGGAGGAACTTGTCCCCCAAGAGTTCCCTCATCATTTGGGGGAGCTCCCTCATTACTTTAGAGAGAGACTCCTCCACTTGTTTCCTTACCTCTCTGGCGATAATCCCAGCTAATCCGTCGCCCGGGAGGACGGTATCGCTGGTAATTACCGGGGGGAAGTGGTCCTCCAGCTTCTTCACAACCCCTTGAACGGGGGGTCTATTCGCCGGGTTATCTATCAGGTCTTGCTTGGTGACTATCATGGGGGATGGCTCCGGAAGTACAACCTCCATCGCCTCCCCCATCCCCATGGTCTCCACCCCTTCTCCCATCTCAGCGACCGCGGCTCTATACCGAGTTTTCGGGGGTGAAGGAGGAGGGGAGGTTCTCTCCCTCTCCTCCTTCTCCCTTCGGAGGTCCGCGATCTCTTTCTCCAGGAGGCGATTCGCCTCCAGGATGTCCTCCAATTGTGTGTTAGCGGAGGGAGGGGCTCTGCCCGCTACGGGGTCATAATAACCCTTCTCCGCTCTTTCCGCCAGTGCTGCGGCCCCCGCCTCGAAGGAAGAAGCCGCCACTTTGAGGATCCCAGCTAGTTCCCCCTTCAGCCCCTTTGAAACGTCAGCCACCCCAAGGACCTCATGGGTTCTCCTCCTGAGATCATCTAAGATGTTGTGGACTGACTCCTCTTTGTATCTTACGACGCTATTTTTAACTTTTTCCACATATTTGTGGTATTTTTGCGTCGTACGATCCGGTTCGTAGTAGGGGTTCATT